AAAAAATTTTTAGAATGAAAAACAATATATTATTTAGATTAAACTAAAAAAAATTTTTTGTTTCTACCTTAAATAGTCTATTTACATGCATTTAACCAATTAAATTAATAATAAATTAAGCTTCAATTAAATAAACTGGACATACTGTTATTTTGCTATCAAATAATATTGAAGACTATAAAATTTTAATAATCAAAACATTAATTTTTTTAATATCTTTATTTAATTATTTCGAGGGCATGTTTGATTAATTGCACAGTTAATAAAAAATAATAAATTTCAAATAAAACAAACACAGAGAAATAGATTTATTGTGCGTCTTTGATAAAAATCATTATATTGTAGTATGATAATTATAATTTAATTATTAAAACTTATAAGTCTTAATATCACAAAATATTTGTTATTAACTAAGTATAAAAAACTCGAGGATTATTCTTGTTACTGTAGAAGCTTAGTTAATACCTCGATAATTAAAAAAAAGTTAATTGGATAATGATATTATACCTCTAGAACTACTTTTAACGTATATAATTGTGTTGAAATTACAGAATGGGCCTTATTATTCCTCTAACGGTTGGTTTTTAACGAACAGGCTTCTACGAATTAAACTAAAAGCTGATGAGGTGGTGGTTGAAGAATATACTTTTTTTATAGTTACTTTCAGCATTTTTCATTTTAATGTGTTTCCTTATAGAGACTAATGCAATAGTCGGCGACACTGCTTCGTTAAATATATGAAATTGTTACCATCATAAAACGTTAGCATAAAAAAGTCCCGATTCTCTAATCCATCATAAAAACCAACAACTATCCATCATAAAAAAAAGTAGGGTAAAATAAAAAAAAAAAAGGTTTGTACGCCATAAGTGTGATTAGTCATGCCAAAACAGTACTATAAAATATATTAACGCAGCATTTTCAAGAAACGCTGGAGATACTCCGTTTGGTAAATCTAATTTCCTCTAAAGTCACCCGTCGTTTCTACAGAAACGGAATAAAAATTCAGTTTTACTGTACTCATTACATATTAAAATACACCATAAGAGTGATGTGGATTTTCGATGTTCAATAAAGGACCATCCATTAATCTACAGATAATGTTTGACGTTTTAGAAAATTAAGAAACCATTATATTATCATGAAATGTTAATATTTTTGTTATGTTTAATCGAAATCCCTCCAAATGATAGGTTAGTTATAATAAAACAAACATTACCTGCCATACCGCGTTTTGGATGAACTTTAGAGGAGACGAAACGTGTACATTAACGTAATTATACCGAAAACTAACGAAACGGAAACGCCAAACTGGAGATTATCTTTTGTGGTGAAGTGTACGTATGTGTTTACATTAGCCTATAAGCGCGTTGGCCAATTAACATTATCTAACATGTTACACTAGTGCGTAGGTAGCTGTTAAGAGAACATGACCCTAAATGTTTCTCGAGCCCACTGGCTGCTTTGTATCTGTTTGAGGTTCGACTATATCAAAAGATTTCATTAAACGCGAGTCCGATTTTTAAATGTAATCAACTAAATGGTGTATTTAAATGATGTTTTATGGCGTTCCGAATTATTCTTTCGCGAAATCAAACTATATTGGAACTTGTTGTTTATCTCTAAGGCCATTTGTTTGACAACGCTTTGAAAAAATTGTTCTGGTAGTAAACATTGCTTAGATAGAACTTCTACAGAAAAATAAAATGCAATTGATTATAAATTGTTCGCGGTTGATTACACCACCGAAGGATTGCATAACGTTTTCTCGTAGAATATTTATTGGCAAACGACGCGTTAAATTGTTTTCCCTCTCATTTATAATGTTAATAACTCCTGTCCTCACACCCCACAGTGCAATGGAATAAAAACGATTTATTATCGCTTGCCCGAAAAACCTGAATAGTTTTGAATTTGTGTGTTCACAAGTATCAACTGCTGTACAACTTAAGAGCTCGAAGCGATTAACAAAATGTTCACTAGAATCTCGTACACCGAATTAAAATTACGTTAATTACATAGTCGTTTACATTTAGATTTTAGTTTGCACTAAAAAATATTGTAATGAAATAAGTTTTGTATATGTATTTGTATGATGAGGTAATTACGCGTGTAATCTACAGACCTTTTATTTCATTTTCTATTATACCGAAGAATTCATTTATGTTTTATTTTTTTTCTTAAAATTATTATATATATTAAATAGAAACTTGAATTTTACGCGATCAATACACTTTATAAGTAGAGAATAAAATCATAATATTTTTTAATTAAAAAGAACTATTTAAAAGCTGCAAAAATATTATTATTTAATTGTGACACCGATGACATCGGACTTAAAGGATACAATTTTTTATTGAAAAAGTTGTTATTTCGCTCCTTCGAATAAATGTGATTAAGAAAATAGTCTCATAAAATTCATTTTTTAAATTTTAAACTTCTAAATTAGGCTAGGAAAAAATGTCTTCTAATTGAATTTTATTATAAAATCATCATTCAAGTCAAATTTTGCAGCAGGGACGTATTTGACACTTCATTTCAAGAGGGGCGATATTAAGGTAAGTCAACCACCTCTCACTAAAAAAAATGTAGACATTAAAATAAAATAATTCCGGGGTATTACCCCTATCGCCCCTCTTCAAATACGCCACTGTTTTGAAGTTATTATAAAGTATCATGTTTATATATATTATCAAATCGACCCATCAAATTGCAGAACAATGCAAAACAGTGTTGTAGAACATCTCACAAGGCCATAACATTCACTTAAATAAATACATATATACTTCAAGGAAAATATTCATAAAAGTAAAACACTTGATATAAATCTTTTTTTTTTAGAAAAATTGTATTTTTCTTTCCATTTGTATACACCGAGTGGAACAGATATAACTGACAACTATAATAATTTTTGATATATTAACATTTTGCTTTTTTTTTTTTTTTAATTTATACATTCTTAGACTTTGTTAAAATAATATTTTTTATTATTACTTTTAAATAACAAAAACTTTTTTCAATAACATTACTTTTTATCTAAAAAAAAAAATAAACAATTAAATAAGATTACAGTCATGTCATTTTCAAATTAAATATCAGCAGAGTAACGTTGTAAACATTCACAGGGTAAATTAAATAAGGTACTGATTATTCTAACAATTTCATTTACACCATAAAAACAATTTATTGCGGTGCTAACCAAATTTTCGGTAAAAAATATTACATTTTGTTAGTTTATAAATAACAAGCATTGTAACCATTAAAATGTGGCAATCTTTTTTATACTTCAATACCGCGAAAATACACTCAGATTTTATTTCATTTCAATCGGTGGTATCAGAAAATGACGTGAAAGATTCATTTTTTGAAACTATTATTTCTATAAAAAAAAAATCCGAGATACGTTTTCAACTCCAAAAGGACAATAAAAATGCTAACAGCAGAATGATTAAGTTGCATAAAGAGTAAACTCAATTTTTTCTGTCCTTTAAAAATGTGATTTAAAATGACGTCTTCGTTGGAAAATTTTAGTCAACCAAAATCATCGACATTAAAAAGAATCTAATATTCGATTAAACATTGACATTTATTGGCAGTATGTTAATAGTTTCAACAGCTGTACTTTATAAAAAAAATCAAGTCATTTTTCAATGTTCACATATTAAACTTCATTTAGAGTAACTCTAAATTAGCTTTTTTGATAAAAACTTTTAGGGATAATTAAAATGACACGATAAGAACTTTCAAATGTATTATCCTGCACCTATTAATATATTGAAATATTAATTGGTCTAGTTAAGGCTTTTAAGACTAGTTAATATTATTGTAAGAATATATATTATTTAAGGTGCAATACATTATCTCCAAACTCAATATATGTATCATATGAACTTACAAAATAGTAAAAACAGATTGTTGCCCGAGATTAAAAAGGTTCTAAATAAATAATTTTTCAGTACATCTTTCTTTTAATAATATAACTATGATACAATTATATGAATTTTTAAATTGTTTATTTAAGTTATCTTGTTGTGTAATAAAGGAACAACTTTGTTTAGGGCTTAAAAGATGCGTAATTAATTTTTAATGTATTTATCCAAAAGAAAATTTGCATTAAAATTTTTTTGTTCTGAGATTACGAGATCTGGTTTTATTTAAAATCTATGTGTTGAAAAATTGTGACATTAATTTTCTTTATTACAAACATTTTTGTTTGCTAATAGTTGTTAATACGTCATTTTGGTGGTATAAAATAAAAATCATTACTTAACTAATAGCTGTTATTTTATCTGTTTTAAGTGTTGAGTAAAATTTTCAATTACTGATTTTACTAATATTACAGCCAAATGCCGTTAATGGGAAATTATAAAGATCGTGTTGTTTTTAAGTAGCACAACATTAAAAAATTACATAACATTTTTCTGTTCGCCCTTTAAAGAATCGATACAATTTTTTTAAAAAAGTACAGAGTCGTTATATGGACACTGTGTTTCTCCAAGCTAACAAATTATTATATGAAATCAGATATTTTCTTTTTGTAGTCTTATACGCCATAAACGCATTACTTTAGTATTGTATTTCTAGGGAAAAAGGAAACTACATTTAATTGGAATTTTGAATTTTAAAAGAGATGATTAAGTAAGAGCGATACAACAATATGTATTTATTTACATAATAAAGAGAAAAATAAAATATTATAAATAATTTGATATGGTATGTAAAGTTTTAATATTATTGATACATATTGAGACTTGTAAACATAACTTATTTTTGTTAATTATTGCATTCCATTCTTATTATCAGTAACTTTAAATTGTGTGGTTATTTACTATTTTCTTAAAAAACCTGTTCATAATTATGTGATAAGTTTTCTAATCTTGATAATTTTAAATCAATACAACAGTGCTAATGTCTGAGGAAAATTTTATACTAAATTTAATATTTTTGCATTGTTCGTTTTATTATATATGATAATAAATTTAATAACTTTTAGTACTTACTGCTATTATACGCAAAATCAATGTGTTTTGCTGGTAATCATACTCCAAACCAAAATTGATTTGTCCAACTTTTTCAGATGGCACTGCCGGTGGTCCTTTACTTAGTTCGGTCATGGACGAACAACGATCGTTCTGAAATTATACAATTTAATTATTACAAATATTTCGCGAACAAAGTTGCTATACACTGACGTTAGAAGTTTTTAGCAACGGATTTTTATCAATATATTGATTTTGGTGTCTATTAGAGACAAACATGCGACATGCGATAGCTATAAAAGCTAATTCGAACGATAATCTCAAATAAATTAGAATTCGTTGTACTTTCATTAGTATTGTAATTTTGTTGTATGGATAAACCTATTAATTGAGAACGTGAGAAAAATCAACGATCTACAGTTAATTCACATCATGAAATCGATCAGATTTAAAGCGATTTACAAACTGTGTAACTGAAATGGTTCGTTTAGAAAATTAAAAAAATCAGGATTATCATTTAAATTTATGTTAAGCTACTTTACGTTCAATGTATAAAAATGTATATTTTTATAAAACGGGTCAAGTGCGTATTTAGTATGCACAATATTGTGTTTTACAAATGTTACCAGAACAATCTTATAGCTTTCGTTCATTCATCAAACTTATTTGTGTTAGCCATTTTATTTATTTTCAATCAAGCCATGGAAAATTATGAACCATGTATAAATTTACGTGTTTAACAAATAATCTTTGTTATTTTATGTTCAACATTTTCAAACATTCCCCTCTCAATATTTTTTTATTTTTAATTGAAACGACAAATTAATGATTACGTTCTAGATTTAAATATAATTTAGCTTATTGGTAGTATAAAAGTAAAGTAGAATGGTCGCCCTTATAGCAATTCTTTTCAGCAAATATTTTATGACTGAAAATTAAAAACAAATAATTGATTAGCTTTCCCTGTTTAATTTAATTTTAATGCACCCAACAATAGCCGTTATATAAATAGTATACTTGAAAAAAATCGTGAAGATACTTCACATTCAGATAATGAAGAGATGAAGTGTTAAATAAAAAAAATTTTTTTCTTTTTTGGACGTCATTATTCGCTTAGTAATGTAATACTCTTCAAATGTTACATCAGTTTGTAAATTATATGACTTTAGTTCAAGTACAAGTTTGAAATTGCAAAAACAATAATTTGAGTCTAAAAAGCTTAATTTTATGTATTAAAAATATGTTTTCTACAGCTATTAAGAATTTTGTTACGATAGTTGAACGAACTCAATAAAAAAGGCAAATAATTTTTAATGACAATGATGTTTTATCGTCAATAAAAATTGTTTTATTCTTTCATTTACAATAAAAATAGTTTATGTTGAGAAAATAGTTTCTAAACAATTTTTTAGCTTCGATGCAAAGCGGAGAAGGTATTAATTTTACTATGATGTGTTTTTTTTTTTTTTTTTTTTTT